CTAATAGTAACTTTGAGTAAACCAAAAGTAGCTTCTTATTAGTTATTAAAAATGTAATGTAGAAAGACCTTCAATTGTTCTCTGAACACTTGGTTTTTAATTAGGTCTTTCCACTTTTCCGTGGAAAGACCTTTTGCTTTTGTTCTGATTTTTTTTTTTTTTTTCTTCCGCCTAATTTTCTTCTTCTGCTGTATTGTTAATTCAAACTTTGTCGCGTAGATTTTTGGTATATGATATCGAACAGTTTATACGCTTTTGAAACTGACACCGCTGAAACGAATATTCTATTTTGTAAGAGTTATCTCCCCGAACACTGATTTTCTTGTGTGTACTACTCCTTCGCAACCGTAAAAGATTATGACAAATTTATTTTACCAAATTGCTCGTTATATCATCAGGATGTTTTGATTAATTTTGACCGAAGTGGTATAGAGATTCCATATGAGAGGTATTTCCCTTTATGCATTTGATATAAGTGATTTGCATTTGTAATTGATAAACCATCAGTGATAGATACCTAGGAAATTTTGATTTGATGTCCTTGGACCAAAAAAAAAAGAAAATAAGGTCAATTCTACATTTTGATTTTGGCTTATTTTCACTTCTTTTCAAAAACCGTATAAGATATCGGCAACATATTTTTACTAAATTGTTAGTTGCAACATGTCGTTACTCATAAATTTTGTTTGAAAGGACGCGTAGCGTTAAATGGGATTTTTTGCCCCTCTTATTTTTATAATTATGATTAAAGTGATAAAACTCATTTACCATACATATCAAAGACCTATGGTCTTAGGAGTTGAAGTCCTTAGTTTATGACCTTGAAAAGAAGGTCAAAGTCATAGGTAAATTTGACGTTCTAGATTTTGACCTTTGCTTTAAATTCATATTTATACACAATAAAGCCATAGGACTTTGTGCATTAGGTTATAACGTTGAAAAAGCAAACCGGAAGTGACCTTTTTTAAACTGGAAGTGGCTATTTTTTATACTTTTTTTATGTAAAAGTATATAGAACAATATATTTTTGGAATCAGTTTCAAGTAAACTATTAAATAATTATACCGAAGTGACATTTTTCAGACCGGAAGTAACAAATCATATTCCTTATTTAAAAAAAAGTTTATAGAAACCATATATTTTTTAAATCAGCATACAATAAGCTATAATTTGACACTGGAAATGACATTTTAAACTGGATTTTAATATTTTCGTATCAAAAGATATCGTTTCGGGTGGAAAGACCTTCTTTAATTTTTTTAATTTTTTTTTTCTTCCGCCTAATTTTTTTCTTTTGCTGTATTGTTGTTTCAAAAGATGTCGCTTAGACTTTTGGTATATGATATGGAACAATTTTTGAAGCTTTTGAAACTGACACCGCTTAACCGAACACTTTTCTTTGTAAGAGTTATCTCCCCGAACACTGTTTTTTCTTGTGTGCACTACTTCTTCGCAGCCGTAAGTGATTATGACAAAATTATTTTACTAAATAGCTCGGTACATCTACAGGATGTTTCGGTCAATTTTAACCGAAGAGATATTGGCACTCCATATGGGAGTTATTTCCCCTTTTGTATTTGACATAAGTGATATATAAATGTAACTCATGAACCGTAAGTGATAGAGTCTTAAGGTCTTTTGATTTGAGGTCCTGAGTACACCAACAAAAAAATAGTGTCAAAGTCAAAGGTCAAGGTCATTTTCCAAATTATGCCCTTTGCTTGTGTGTCCATTCTCTCTTATACTATAAAAATTTCATATAAAAAAACTGATGCTAAATTTTTGGGTTGTTGAGACGAACAAATGGTGCGTTCAGTCCGAAGCGATCTGATGATATTTTATAGGAGTTATTGCCCCTTAAATGTTAAAATTTAAGGTAAATCGAATATAACTTTATTCTGGTACATGATAAAGTCAAAGCGACTTCTGCAAAGGGTTGGTTGGCACATGACCTTGAAAATATCAACTGGAAGTGACCTTGTACAAACCGGAAAAAGCTATTTTTGCAGTAATTCCAAGGAAAAATACTTAGAAACTTTATACTTTTAGAATCAGCATACAATAACCTTTTAATGACACCGAATGTAAACCGGAAGTAGCTAATTATCTCTATTATTTGAAAGAAAAGTATATAGATACCATATATTTTTGGAATCAGTGCAAAGAAAGCTATCATATGAGACCGAGAATGTCATTTTCTTAACCAAAAGTAGAAATTATCTCCCATTTTAAAGTAAAAAGTATGTATAAACCACATATTTTTTCGATCAGTATGAAGAAATCTATGATTGGACACCAAAAGTAACTTTGGGTAAACCGGAAGTAGCTACTTATCAATTATTTAGAAATTTAATGTGGAAAGACCTTTTAATTTTTTTTTTCTTCCGCCTAATTTTTTTCTTGCGCAGTATTATTATTTGATTTGAGGTCCTTGATAAAAAAAAAAATAGAAAATTAGGTCAAGGTCAAATTTTGATTTGGCTTATTTTCACTTCTTTTTAAAAACCGTATAAGATATCGTCAACATATTTTTTACTTAATTGTTAGTTGAGACATGTCGTAACACATACATTTTGGTTGAAAGGGTACGCTGACATTAAATGGGAGTTAACGACCCTATGATATTAAAACTACCCGTATGGTGATATAACTCATTAACCAAATATAATAGAGACCTAAGATCTTTTGATTTGATGTCCTTTGTTTATAACCTTCAAATTGAAGTCAAGGTCAAAGTTTAATTTGACGTTCTAGATTTTGACCTTTGCTTTAACTTTTTACTGGTACATGATAAAGTCATAGGGTCTTTCACATTGGGTTGCAAACATATGACCTTGAAATAGGTCAATCGGAAGTGACCTTTCATAAACCGAAAGTAACCATTTTTGCATTATTTTTCATGTACAATTAACTAAAACTTTATATTTATGGTACCAGTGTCAAGTAAGGTTCTAATGTATTAGGAAGTAGCATTTTGTAAACTGGAAGTACCTACTTATCACCCTTATTTTTAGTAAAAGTAAATAAAAACCATATATTTTCGGAATCAGCATAAATTAAGCTGCTATCTGTTACCAAAATTGACATTTTAAACCAAAAGTTAACATTGTCCTGCCTAGGTATGTCTATTTTGGGTGGAAAGACGATCAATTGTTCTCTAAACAATTAGTTTTTAATTATTATTTTTTATTCTTCCGCCAAATTTTTTTTTCCTGCGGTGTATAGTGGTTTCGCAAGATGTCGCTTAGATTTTTTGCATATGATATCGAACAGTTATTGCGCTTTTGAAACTGGCCCTGTTGAACCGAACACTTTTTATTGTAAGAGTTATCTCTTCAAACACTTTTTTTCTTGTGTACGCATCTCCTTCGCAACCGTACAAGATTAAGACAAAAACAATTTAACCAATTCGCTTGTTATATCCTAAGGATCTTAAGAATAATGTAATTATAATTGATAAACCATAAGTTATAGAGACATAGGGTCTTTTAAATTGAGTTCCTTGGTCCAACAAAAAAGAAAATTTGGCCAAGGTCAAAGGTCAAGGTCAAAGGTCAAGGTCAGGTTTTAAATTTAGATTTTGGCTTATTATTGCTTCTTTTTAGAAACCGTATAAGATATCGACAAAATATGTTCACTTGACTGTTAGTTGCGACATGTTGTATCATATATATTCTGTTTAAAAGGGGGCGTTCAAATTTGATGGGAGTTTCCTCCCCTCTAATACTTAAAATTAGCTGTATTGGGATAGAACTCATTTCCCATATATAGTGGAGACTTAGGGTCATTTGATTTGAGGTCCTTGCTTTATGACTTTAAAATTTAGTTCAAGGTCAATGATTTTTTTTTTTTTATGAATTTATGATGTGAGGTTAAGGTAACTAAATAAAGGCAACAGTAGTATACCGGTGTTCAAAAGTCATAAATCGATTGAGAGAAAACAAATCCGGGTTACAAACTAAAACCGAGGGAAACACATCAACTATAAGAGGAAAACACAGGAACAACAGGAACACTGAAGTGTAACAAAAACAAACGCCAAAGTCGGGATTCTACTTCGTCAAAATTATTTCCACATTACGCCAGCTCATTTTTACAATCGTAAAAATGGGTGCCATTGTAGGGATGACGCGCCGCCAATTTAGCTCTTGAAAACCGATAGATTTATCCACATAGCACCACTATGATTCTTATATGCCAGTTGTTTTTTAAAAGACAAACGTGTCTACTAGCTATTGATCATCATTTAATGTACGTTTCTGCATTTAGTCAATTTAAAACTATTGTCTGATCGGTTGTCAGGTGGAATTTTCGAAAGTTCAAAACATTTAAAAAAGTTCTAATCAAATATTTCGTGGAAGGGGAGACTAAAACATGTTCAGAGGTTGAAGAATAATTACCCTTGACAACACACAATAAAAATTATTTTTTTTAAGTTATGCATTTTTAAGATCCACTTGTAAAGTCTGTCGTCAAGTACTTTTAGTAAAAAAAATTTATTCGAACACACCTACTCTGTTGTTATGATTCATTAGAAAGGTATTTCACTTGACCCATATATTTTATTTTTTAGTACTGTGAATTTTTGATGTTATTAAATCAGCCTGTATCCTTTATATATATATATAGCAGGGTCTAAGAACATAAGTTGTTCGACTTGCTAGTCAAATGCGTTTTGTTAAAATATACCTTTTCACTCATTTGGTCTTTTGGAAAATGTTGTTTGTGCTGTATTTAGACCCCTTTACAAAGAAATTTGTTTTGCATGCACACGTATTCTATGGAATGTTTTTCGGCGGAATATATGCTTCTGCACAAAAAAGATCCACTTGTATTTGCACTTACCACAATCGACTGTTTTATGAAAATTTCTCTATAATTTAAAAGTTTACAAATATCTCGAAACTCCATACTATAATTTAAGTAAAAACACGTACATAAGATGCATAAAATCCTAAGTTATGCACCTGGACATTTACGTCGTACGATTTTGTTTTCAGAGACATTGAATACAACCATTCGCTTTCCTCAGACGGCAGTGCCAGCTGAAGAAACAACGTATTCCTGTATGATCTTCAATCTTCCTTCTGACCAAGATTATCATCTGGTGGCATATGAACCTTACATAGATAATGAGATGGTCATGCATCATTTATTAGTTTACGGATGTGATCCGAATGGTAGGTACAATATGACAACAGCGTTTTTATGAATTTATTGTCATTACGAATGCCCAATGCCGAAATATTTAAAAGCCAATGATGTATAAAAAGTAGCCAAATAGTCCAAATAAAATTCATTACATACAACCAAACAAATACTTTTCACAAGTAGATTATTAAAAGTACAACAAAAAGGCCTAACCCAGTCATTTTTAATAAACATATATTTGTTTTTAAATAATAGGTTTGAACGTTGTTTTCAATTTAGACTTGTTTATATTTTTTCGTTTGGGCTTGTATTATATTTGCCTTCGGGTTTATATGATCCGTTCATCCAATTTCGACTCTTTCAAAATTCAAGAGTCTATCCTAAATTGAGGTAAATTATATGGCCTTCCAAATACCGTTTGGATTCCTAACATCACTGAAAAGACATTAATTGTCATAATTCGGATATGGTGTAAAAATTTTGCACCTCATGTTTGCGGTATACCATCTTTTCCGCAAGTTTTTTGTTTTCTGTTTGGTAATAAATACAATGGCAGTCAGCAGGGTTTAAGAACATCAGTTGTTCGACCTGCTAGTCAAATGCGTTTTGTTAAAATATACCTTTTCACTCATTTGGTCTTTTGGAAAATGTTGTTTGTGCTGTATTCAGATCCCTTTACCAAGAAATTTGTTTTGCATGCACACGTATAAAAATTGCGGTTTTTTATCCAACGCATTCATAGGTTTGAACGTTGTTTTCAATTTAGTTGTTTGTTTTTAAATGTATATACATGAAAAAAAATGTGCAAAGTTGTTACGGTTCACACATAATTTCTTTTGTACCTTCCTTGCAAGGTGTTGCTGAAGTTTAAACATATGTCTGTTATTCCACCAGGAATTTATAACTTGAAGCATGCACAAAATCGGAGACAAAAATACCATCCATATTTTTCATATGACATAATTTATAATATACCATTCTTAGATGATCCGTTGATAAATTTAGAAATAACTAAAGAACCATTATTTCAACTCACTCAAGCACAGTTGACGTAATGTGGATTTGACTATATTTCGTTATTTATCACTTTTGATATTTCAGTAGTGTCCTATAGGACACTGTAACTATGTCAGCTTGACATGCTTACTGAATGTTTAACCTCATTTTTAAAGTTGACAGTGTCTGAAAAAATCGCGTTAAGTTGGAGCAATTCCCCAGTTATTATACATAATAACTGAACCACTGACATCTGATAAAAAAATGTTGTATTAGTAGTGTTATATAATGGACTCCTTATTTTGACATCATTACGACGTGTGCCACATGTGGAGCAGGATCTGAATACCCTTCCGGAGCACCTAAGATCATCCCCAGCTTTTGATGGGGTTCATGTTGCTCAGTCTTTAGTTTTCGATGTTGTGTTATGTTTACTGTTGGTGTTGTATCAGTTGATCTTCGACTTACAGTTTGAATGTCACTTTGGTATATTTTGCCTCTCTTCTAAGTACTTATATTCATGAGTGGGTCAGTACCTCAGCAATAAAACTAGAGATACAAATATAAATTACTGTCGAGATAAAATAAGTTTTCATTTGAATCTGAGAAGAAATTAAATATATGTTTATACTTATACAGAGGCCCCAGTGCCAGACGAACAGCTCAATACAGTTACAAAATGTGACATGGGAGCAGGTGGTAGCTGTAATAAACTCATCGGATTATGGGCGGTTGGATTTTCTGGATATTGCATAGATGGACCAATGGGATTCCGTTTTGGTCAAAGTGGATTCAAACAGGCCGCGTTAGAGGTTCGAAAGTAGAAAAATCTTTAAGATAGGATTTCACAAACAGAGAAGAAATTATATTCTCCCACTCGTAGTTCCTCTGATATTTTAGATCACGAAGTTTTATAAAGATGTATAATAACATTCTTCAGAACTTAACATTTTTGCATTAGGCCTTCACACGTTTTATATATAAAAGAAAAAAAAACACAATTCATCTCTTTTACAAATTTAACAAGAACAATATATAAAAAAAACATTTGCCTTCACATCGATGTTATGATATGACCAACACCCACGCCCTTACTAATGTTTGCCACACAATGTCGATCTTTGTCAAATGTATTTTTGAGTAAAGTTGTTCATTTCGTTTAAAACTATTATTAACTATTATTTTAATGACACGCTTTGCTTAATTATAACAATCATAACATGTTGATGTCACAATGACTTCGAAGTTATGGTTCGTCAGTACAGTGATCGGAGTGTGTCAGTTTATCTTTTTTTTTCTTTAGCAAAAGTTAAAATTGAGGTCATTTACTTTGTCAAATCTCCATGGAATGTAATGAAACTTGAACAAATGCTTCTTTAGGATACAAAACAAGCATTTGAAGAAAAATGTTCAATTTAAACTTTTCCTCGTATTTTGCTTTAAGTATCAAACAATTATGATTGATTTTTGTTCAAAAAAAATGATAACTGCTGTTGAAGAGAAAGAGAGAAAAATATGTTTATCAAAAAGATTTATTGTTATAAATGACAATTTTATCATTTCATAGTTTCACTGGAACAATCCACAGTTAATAGCGGATTGGAAAGATTCATCGGGAGTTACTCTTTATTATACTCCGAAACTTCGAGCAAATGATGCTGCCATATTGCAGACTGGTCAGTCATATATTGAAATTCCACCTGGACAGCAGAGTTACACAGTAGTTGGAAAATGCTATTCAGAATGTTCAAGGAAACTAATACAAGAACCAATTAACATATTTTGGGCTATAAACCATATGCATTATTTAGGTAATAATAATTTCTTATTTTAGAAAACCTGAATTAAAAAACTACAAACGCTTGATGTTTCTCAAACCAAAAACTGATGTCAATACTATGCGAATTTGCAATTTCAAAACATAAAGGATGAATATATTTATTACAGACCAAGGCTGTGTTGATTCCTTTAATTAAAACTAACGTCTTTTATGATATAAAACTAATTAAACACACAAATTCTGATATTTATCACTTCTAAAATTCATTCATCACGTGAGCCCTAGACTCCTGGTGATTTTCAAATTATTGGCAATATTAAAACAAACTTACATTAATGAGAACCTTTTTAACCAAAATAAATTGATGAAATAATTCATTTTTAATTCATAAAAGCCATTAACGCACATATTCCCTTTAAAAAGTGTTTTAAATGTCATTAGGTCTTAAGTTTTGCACACTGCTGTATTATTTAATCACGTATAGTCGTATAGTCGTATAGTCGTATACGTTACATGCATAATATAGCTGACAAACAATTAAAACTGAGCATTTAACAATCTAGATGTAACATAAATAGTTTTCATTTGAATTTTCCTTGGAGTTCGGTATTTTTTGTTATTTTACTTTTTTCATTTGAACTCATTAATATAATTCCATGTTCATTTAAATTATACGGTTGTTTTTCATTGGGTATCAAAAGGCAGTAAACGAACTATGATGATGCGATGTATGTAATTTATTATATTTTAGTGGTTTACAATTAGTTTGTACTGTATAAAAAAAGTAATTTAAGATCTCGAGTTGGTTGACCGATACGATCCTTTCATGTCTCAACTCAAAAGCGACATGTTTTAAATCTTAAATACCAGAAAAGTCATCTGTTCTGTAAATTTACTGCTTGTATTCTATTCCCTTTCGTGATATCTGACTGAGAGTGGATTCGCATGAGGAGTGATATTCATGTATAGCAATATACACCATGTGGTCGCACCTGGTCTCGATCCGTTTGGAGTCGTGCTATTTCCTCAGTTTTTTTTATCCTGTGTTTGCATATATATATATATATATAATAAAAACTATAACACAATTTTCCATACGTTTCGGTCATTACGGCCTTCTTCATTTGAATTAATTACAACATTGAAACAACAATTACATCGCTTGGATACATTACATTATAATAACTACTATGACGTTTATTTGCCGCGTATTTTTTTTTTTTTTTTTATAAATATTTTCACTATTTAATTTTTTTATCCAAAAGGCTTCTTTAGTTTTTCTGTACATTTTTGTTCCAAATACTCTTTCTACGGCGGTAACTTTTAAATTTTTCATCGAATGATTATGCTGAATGAAGTGGTTTGCTACCGGATCGTCTGTTTTGGTTGTTCGTATTTTTGAAAAGTTCAATAGCATCCGTTGATAAAGTGTATCACCTGTTTGTCCTACATATATAAGTTTTTCGCATTTTGTACAGTTAATTGCATATACAACGCATACGGTTTTACAGTTTATTTGTCCCTGAATGGTATATTCTTTCCCGGTGTTGTCACAAAATACCTTGGTTTCAATTATGTGTGAGCATAATGCACAATTTTTACCGCATGGTCCACAGCCATTAGTTTGTTTATAAAATTGTAAATTATGCTTCTTGTGTACTAAGCTGTTGTGTGTTCTATGGTCGGGTTGTTGCCCTTTTGACACATTCCCCATTTCCATTCTGAATTTTATAAGATATCTTTTATGTTGTTGTCGCGTTTAAATACTACGATAGGCGGATCGGGGAATATTTTCTTTAACCTGTTAGATTGATGGAGAATTTTAAGATTTTTTCTGAGAATTGAATGTATATTTGGAAGCGCTTTGGAAAAAGTAATCACCAAGGGTACTCTGTCGTTTTCTTTCTTTGGTTTGTACTGTATATATATTGTACAAATATATATATTGATTAAGGAGTTATACATCAGTATAGTACTTTTGTTTCTCACTAATACTCAAGACCTAAGACCATTATGAAGTGGACGTTGTTGGTAAATTTTGATTGTGTTTCTGTCATTGATTAAAAAAACAGGAAATGAAGTTGGTTACGTTGAAATTGGATTAAAGTACGTTATATTGCATGGTTTGGCAATTTTGAGTCGGTAGTTGTATACGATAGTTCAAAGTTTTTGTTGTATTCCGATGTACGTACCTACTCGACAGAAGTTGTCCTTTGATTTATAAATAAACTTATTGAACGCTGTTACATATTATGTTAATAGATTGTTTCCATTCGTGGTAATATGTTAATACAAACCAATACTGTATTTAGTTTGGGTTTAATTCATTTTGGTAAAATGTCCTCCTTTGAGTAGAAAAAAGATTATATGAATTGTATTTGAACACACATCTGTGTGTCCAATCCTTTAATTGTAATATATGACACTTCTCTATTTTTCTAAGATTCTAGGTGAGTTTTGTAACAAGCTAGATTTGATGAATAAATATAATTTTGTTGTCAAACAATTTCAGGACATGAAATGAGTATTCAGGTATACAGAGACGGTGTGTTTTATACAGAACTTACAAATGATGCTATTTATAACTATGACAGTCCTGTAGAGAACAAGTGAGTATACAAATCAAGTTTCATTGAGCTATATAAATCTAAAAAACAGAGTTGTGAGTTACGTTATTTATCTTGCTTTTTACTATTTTCATCTATGTCTATATATAATACAAACTCTCATAATTTATTTGCAAGCAATTATACCCGTCTCGTAAAATAGGGACATTTTTGCAACCATCTTGTCCGACTATTCGTCCAATAAATATTTTTGTTATATGTTTCACAAAAACTACTAAACAGAACAACTCTATATTTGGTCAGCAGCTTGATACTGGTGAGTTATACTGTGTGAGCACTTTTCGGATTTGGCTGAAACCCTCTTGCTGTTTGCAGACACTATGAAGATGTTAATTAATTGAATGAGCTTAGTATTTTCGTCTCACATTTGTTCAGTCTACTAAACAGAATGCCTTAATATTTGACCAACAGCTTGATAAAGATGTTCATTTTTTATCTGTTAGATACCTGGTTCCTGCTTATCGATACTATGATTTTTCAGCATATGGAATAAAACTAAATTCTGTACACTTTTCCCACATGTAACTGCTTGTTGGACACGTGATACCTCGTTTCTGATAGTTTGAATTACTAGTGATTCATCGCTTGCATTCCTGTTGATAAATTGACAATATGGACTAGTAGCGACTACAAGGGCAATTGCATAAACAATTTGAAGATTTCCGTAAAATTATCGAACTTTCTTGGATTAAACGACTGCAGACAGCATATCCCCTTGGTCTGAATGACAATATACTAGGACAAGGGAACATATCTAAAACTTCCGTAATCAACGAATTAAACATCGTACAAATTATACACTTGATGATCTCCTATCTATATTTAAAAACAATGGTAGGCATCAATTATTATGTAAACTTGGTCATCTACCAGTAAATGACATGATATTTTCAAGGAGTGTGACAAAATCTCGTTCTTCAGCCCACTCTACGAAAACTCGCGTATAATTACAGCTTGTTTGCCACCATAGGCTGTTCCCGTGAATCGATAAACCTGACGATCATAAACGGCATTTTCTGAAAATTAAATATATTAACAGAGGTATTGATTTCATCAACTTATCGAGTATATTTAATGACTCTACCATTCAAAACTTTATACCTCCCTATTTTATTTAGAACCATCCATTATTTCGTGTACAAACAAAAAAAAACAGCAAAAGTTTAATTTCTAATTATACGCCAGTAACATCAGACGTCAATGTAGAAAATAATACGCCTCTAACTTGAGACTGTGAGTCGTCAAATTTTGAATATGATCCCTATGGCCATGTTATTACGGGGGACCTCAATATCGTTCAAGACCGAGAGGTTAAAACTTTTTGAAAAAAGGACCAAAATATCGTCCTCCGTCTGAAATAGATTGGAAACAGTGTCGTCAGGTCACAAAAGACGCTCTTTCATCGTAATGTAAAAATTAGTGTAAACGGGAAAAATATCTGGAGTCTTATCTAAATACATGTATGAATGTTGTGGATATTAGAATATCACATTTTGAAAATAATTCAGAAATAAATAAAAGAGTATATAATACGCCTATTTCTAGAATAAGAAACAAACTTCAAGTACTTTCAAAGCGGTTTGTTTTTGTACCGGACGAAAAAGCAGCCAACAATGTGGTGATGGTTTGCTATAAATACTACACGGACGTTCTTAAGAATGAAATTTTAAATTCTTCTACATTCAAGTCCTTGCGCTCCACAAAGAGTCATATAGTAAACAAAAATATAATAACCACCTCACAGCTTAAGGCCTCTTCTGAACATTTGAAGGTCCCTACTATGTATTGGTTATCTAAACTACAAAAAAAAACCTATTAAAATCTCGTTGCATCCCGGCCTCTAGTAAGTGTTCAACAACTAATCTTTCAGTGATTTTAACTAGTCCCTTAACTACTTTCAAAGAACCTATCATTAACCTTTGTAATAAAATATATGAAAATAGTGGAATTAACTATTTTTCGAGTGTAAAAAGTTCTTTGGAAGTTTTAGATAAATTACGTGCTTTTGATGGTCCTTTTGATTCTGTTGAAAGTTGTGACTTTTCAACTCTTTACACTACACTTCCACACAATCTTATCAAACAAAAGTTTTCCTATATAATTAAATGGACGTTTGGTAAATCTGAATGCAAATATATTTGCTGAAACTCATTTAAAGCCTTCTTCTCTAATGAGGAAGGTAAATATGCTAGATATACTTACTGGAGGTGTGATGAGATGATTGAAGCTGCTAATTTTCTCTTAGACAATATGTATGTACGTTCCGGCAATAAAGTGTATCGACTGGTTGTAGATATTCCTATGGGCACCAATTGCGTCCCTTTAATAGCAGACTTATTCTGGTACTGTTATGAATCAAAGTTTATGACCAAACTCAGTAAAGACCCGTCTAAATTGCATTTAATTGATAAATTCAACAACACTTACCGTTATTTTGATGATATTTTTTCGTTTTATATTCAAGAATTTTCTAAATATACTGCCGAAAGTTACCCAAAAGGAACTTACTTTAAATAGATCTAATATAAACGGTAATAACTGTCCTTTCCTCGATTTAGATATTTCAGTTTCACACGGAAAACTCTACACTAAAATTTACGGCAAAAAGGACGATTTTTCGTTACCTATTGTTAACTTTCTTTTTTTGGACGGTGATGTTCCTTTGGCACCATCTTACAGTGTTTATATATACAACTCGTTCGCTTTGCCCTTGTCTGTTGTGACGTGTTGGATTTCAATGAACGTAATCTATGTATTACTGGTAAATTCTTAAGTCAGGGATTTTGTTACCACAAATTACAATACCGAAACATGTAATTCTTCCATAGATATAAAGATTTGGTTTGGAAAATTGTTGTACCTGTAGAAAACTTATTTCAAACGGGATAGCACATCCTAATTTTTACGGAGATGTTGTTTACCGAGCCCGATAATTTAGAAACGATCCGGGTAAACTTATCGATCCTTTAAATAAACTTATCTAAAAGGTTCATATTTTTATAGTAGACAAGTTACCCTTGAATTATTATTTCTAAAGAAGCCTGTTTCCAAACAGTCTATCAATCTTGACCACACATGACACAGTTTCACAGTGTCATGTGTGTATATTGAGGTTCTTACAATATCAATAATATAGCGTATTGGTAACTATATGAGCAAACTAATAGTGTCCAAAAAGAAAGATCAAGATTGCAACAGAGGAGTACATGTAAAAACATGTATACGAAGAACATTCTTTAACAAAACCAAAATTCAAATTGAAGTAAAATGATATACCGGTATAGTTCAACAAACACAAATTTATATATTTTGATTAAAGATCTCCCCGATGTCAAATTTTACCAAAACATGTAAAATATGCATAATTGGCCCAACCATTTACAAATACAGGTTCTTTATCAAATATGATTGGACGAAGCAGTAATCTGTGAGGTATTTTCGTCACAGTTAACATGAAATTCATCTTCATCAAGTTACAATTAAAAGTGATCAATGTTATCGTGAAATAAACTTTCCTCAATATACTTTTTATCTATATTGTTTTAGTATTTGACCAAAATTATTAGATTTAGATAACAATAGAAATGTATAGGGCATCATATTCGCTACCACATAAGAAATGTGAATTTTTGATAGTGTATTCTTGACAAATAATATAACTCGACAGGACACGATATCGGCTTGACATATTTTGTTGATACCTGTCTAAAGACTGCATAATACTCTCTTTTTGTGTTTTGTTTATTTGTGTAGTTGGATTGTTGTCTCATCGACGTATTTCCCACATCTCCTTTTTTCATGTTTTAGTAACCATAAAAAAGTACTCACCAAAGTTACCAGGTTTATAATTTTGTACGCCACATTCATGGAATTGACCTTATTATTCAATGTCAGTCATTATACTTCTTGCTCGGTATTTGAACATTTAAGTTCTTATACTTAACACGTAAAAATAGAAACGCAGTAGAGTTCATTCATGTTTTAGTTGATTTGGCAATTGTGATTTTTGTAACAAAATAATGTCAACTGGTTTTAAAATGTAAATTTTAGGTACTTAACTGCAATTCAAGTGCTTCCAGGAGACGAAATTGTAACGACATGCAAGTTCAAATCCCTCTCAAGGCCAAAGACAACGTTTTATGGTGATGCTACAAGTGACGAGATGTGTTTCGGATTCATGGCTTTTTACCCTGCTGCAAACATGCCATTCTCTACGTGCATAGCATGGAAAGATATCTCAGCATGTAATCTGTGGCTTCAACAAGAACATAATAATTGCAAATGGTCTGATTTTATATTTGTCAATGTAAATGAAACAAAGCGTGTAAAGGATGAAGTAATGACAAATTGTAAACCGTTCGGTAATTGTTTATCTGAATGCAAAGCGACACTTCAGGTCCTTTTTGCAGAGCATCCATGCATGAAAGGTGACGTATACGAATTGATCAAACAAATGGCTATGCAGTGGAACAATACGGAAATGCTGAGATTCATTGTAGCAGTTGATTCATGTAAAGCTGAAATGGCTGCCGATTTGTACCTTCAAAACCTTCAAAATAACAAAACTAATGGATCTTACCGTTTGGATGGTATCAGTTCCCTACTGGTATCTATGATTGTTTATATGATGATGAATTAATTATTCTTCACTGTTTGTAGTCTAAAATCAAAAATTAAAATAAGAGGTAAAATGTAGGCCAAATTGAACCCTCTATCTTCCCCTTCTTTAAAAACCTCCATCTACAACTGATAGGTATGATACACAAACATTGATGACATTAACACTTGGACTTACATTTCGTGGGTGTATAACATCCTATTTTTATGAACTTCCCCGATTCCCGTTCACTAAATGCAGAAGTCAGCTAATCTAACTTAAAACTTGGCTGTGTGAAGTCAAATCTTTTATCACCATAACCCCAACAAACACATAACTATAGATGATGTCCAGAACAGTTTAATCTGGTATATTTATGCAAACTGTCCGATATACTCGCGTTTACGCTGATCGATTATAAGTTTTACTGCATCAGTAAGAATAAAATACACTATCAAAAATAAAAAATAAAACTTCGACTTACCACTGAGAGAAAATCATACAAATGAAACAATCGAAGATCTGAGACCTCTTCATTGCTCACCCCTTTGAACAAAAACGGATCATTTTAGAGCAGAGAATTTTATTATCTCTTAGATTGTCTCACATTTAAAGCAAGTTAGTTGTCATCTTAGAAGCTCATATTTCATTTCATCTTTTCGTTGTTTTTAAGAATTTTACTTGCACATTTTTGTGTTAATACTTTATACATATTTCGATATTCATTAATCTGAATCTTTACATTATTGTTTCTACTATTTATATTAATTTACTGATGATATATATACTAGTAGTTGTTCGGAAATTGTCTAATTGAAATCCATCCTAACAGCTTTGAATTTATTCAATAATATTTCTAACATATCTCAATATTGTCTTCTGATTTTGTTGCAATGTTGGACAAAAGGTGGTCACCATAGTAGATAAATGAAAAAAAGGTGAGGGTTAGTGGAAGGCATGTTCTTTAAAGATATGTTCCTGATAACAATCCATCCAGAAAGGCTTTTCAAACACAGAAAATACAATATGTTAGCCATGGTAGCCCTTGAGTCACTTATATCAAGTACGGTAAATTTACTATGTATAAAGTGTCGAATTTATCGAAACACTAAGGGTTTTCTACTCCAAGGCATACATTGCCTTCGTCATATTATGCTAATTCGATATTCCTGTCTTCAATCGTCAATGCTATTCGACATCGTTTTTGCTTTGCCCTTAATAGTTTTCCAAGATATTTGACAATTTATGATACGAAGGTGTGGAGGCATCACGCCTATGAACAAAATGTATGACGAAATTTTACGACCTCCGGGGCCATAACTTATGCTCGGAATTCTTTTAGGACCAGCTATTTTATTATGTGCTGCCTTATTAGCGTATTTTAACATTGGGTTGCTTTCGCTGCTAGTAGACTGTAAGTCCTTTAGGGTATCATCAGCTTTATAGTCAGTGCTTCGGCAGTCACGATTTTGAACAAATATTTTCAAATGCCCCGTTTATAAAATAAGAAATTATTATGAAACTAAGGTTCCAACTCCCACAGGCAAATTCGAACTTTGACGAATTTTGCGATTCTTTTTCGTCACTTTTGGTAACCATACATTTCTACATATTCATTCATTCGTGGCTTAGGTTTAAGCTTTCCTGATAAAGACTAATAAAGCTTTCTTGATGAAGACTAATCTAGAAAAACACTTTGGACGCAAGAAATTTACAAAGTGTTATTTTCATTAAACAGGAGTAACACGACGACTACTAAAAAAGGAAATGTTGACATTTCCTGATCATCTAAACTCATAGCCGGTTTCTTGGGGTTATGTGTTCTCAATTTTAAGTTTCTTTGTAATGTTTTGTTGTCTGTCTGTTGTCATTTTTATTGCGCCTGTGACTAATGTCCCAAAATTCGAAATATAGGGAAGCTTATCCGGCGGGGTAACATCTTTGTAAAAGCTTCATATTTCAAAAGGTAAAAGACATTGATACTTCAAATCTTGCATCCATACAGATGTCTATCATGCCTGAAGTTGGCATGTGTCCGTTGTCAATGTCCTCATTGGAATGGTATAGTGTTTTTCACAAGTTTATATTAGTATTTATTAGGGATTTCAACTCGGTGAAGATGAACTAATCGAGTACTCGTTGGATTTACCGAGCGATACTCGAGTACTCGCTCGGTAAAACATTAACAAAATGGAAACTCAAAATCATGCCCATTTTAGGTATCGTTGGTCGTTGTGTTATGAACGTATAACCCTCAAAATTATTACCTTGGACTAGATAATAGTCCATGGAATTTTATACCATAATTAGTAGCTCATTAACTACATGGACTAATTATGTAAACTGGCAATAAATTAATCAAGTAATTAATTAATATCTATAGAATTTTTTTTACTCAAAAACAGTATTTGGGAACCGTAAAAAAACACATTCAATAATCAACAAAGGGGTGGTGATTAGAACTTATAATAATAATCTTTATTTTACTGATACCTTTAATCAATTACTGAGGGTCGATACGGGGCACATCGAATTAGTTCTTATTTTACAGTTTCATCTAGTCAACTTTTTCTGGGACGAGGCGATTTCGCAACTTTTTTAGGTAACTAATAGTCTGGCTGTTGAAAATATATGTTCTGACGGTATAGAGACAGGGGAATGACTAAGATTAGCTAAAAGTGTAAGATTTGGAAAAGTGCTCTTGTTCATAGCCTACCTCTGTTTGGGAGAATTTTATATGACAGTTAAAAGCAAACTTTGAATCCTATTTTTATTTTAATTTTATTGATTTTGATTAACATCTAATATCCCGGGAGCCGTTCTAAAAAATGTTTTGTTTAAGCTTAAGAACGCAACAACATTCTAACAGGAGACCGATTAGTCGAGTATCATTTTAGTATTCGATACTCGGTTCTACCGAGCGATACTCGAGTACTCGAGTTGACATCCCTAGTATTTATGAATAATATGGGTTCAGCTGACCTCCTTTCGAAGACCAATGATTATCTTTATATTTCGTTATAAAGTGCATTTTTCAGATACTATAAGCAATTGGTCAACTACATTAAATATATATAACAATTTTAAGGGGCACATGTGCGTCTGTTAGGGTTCATTTGACTACGACTTCATTTTTATGGTATACTAGTCAATAAACGAAAACAGAGATAACTGCAGTAACTCGAAAGGGAGCGAGACCAGTTACGTCGACATGATAAGCGTCTCATGCCATACATTCATCAATCGCAATGCAAATAATAAAATACAACGCACTTTTGATTAACCATTTTACTAAAATTAAGATTAAATTGGAAGCATGTCCCATAATATCATGCAAACAATGCCTTTTTGGTCTTGATAGAAAAGTTTTTCAATGATAGAATTCAAGTTAAACCAAAAAGTATACGTCCTATACTTATTAGCACACCTGACCCAAACAGCTTTTGGACGTTGACCCAAATGGTTAAGTAAGGTAATGACATCCCTTTATCTGTACCTTAGCCTGGAATCTATTTACATTTCAATCATCGCAAATTGGCTATGGCCAAAAGGAGTAGGTCCTGTAAGACCCCTTTTTGGCCCCAAAATATAGCGTTTTTACAAAGTTGTTGAAAATGTAACTTTTAACTATTTATTGGCAAGTAAAATATTTTGTTACATAAATATGGGCTGTTTTTGACAATACAGTGGTCATGCACCATGTACTAGCATCACTATGTCATAAAAAAATACGGAAATCTTCACAATTTTGGCATTTGTGCTAATTTTAAGACAATTTTTGTGTAAAATGCAAGTAGCCGCACTTGTGTTCAGTCTTAATATTTGAAAATATGTCGTATTTAATGATAATACATAACATATATAAAGGTTGAGCCTGAACACGAATGCGGCCACTTCCATTTTAGACAAAAACCATCTGAAAAGTGATGTTTTATCGCGTATTTGATATATTTTTGATATTTAAGAATGAATTTGAGTGTCTATGTTGACAAAATCAGTTTTAATCTTTAACATAAACTAATTGAATTCACTGGTGTAGACAATTACAAAAATGTAAGTGTTTAAAAAGTGTCAAAAATCTTTTATCAAATGCGTTTTGAAGTTTAGGCTGAAATTAGCCCTTACCGGACCTTCACCTTTATAATTATTGGCTGAAAGTTCAGTGATCCAATGAGCAATTTCTTTGCATATTAAATCGGAATATTGTAGAGGGTCCTTTATTATTTTTTTAACTTTTAGTACCAAAAATCAAATCCAAGACGCCCGTCATAGGAACATAATTTAACATATTACCGTAAACTAATGACTAAACGGTGATCCTATACTAATTTGCTGCACCAAAGTAAGAAACTACCGATACTCTGGAACATGAAACAAACATACAAAATTACTTACAACCATCTTGTGATGAACAACTTAATAAATATACTAAATAGACCTTAAAGTAAAACCCTCAATTTGAATACAAAAAACTGTTTGTCATGTTCCAAAGAGGAATAAATAAAGAAGAGTATACTTCTATAACATAACTATTTGTATTATGAACATTCAAAGGCTCTGAAGTGCCTTGGTGGTCGATACTTCTATAACATTACTATTTGTATTATGAACATTCCAAGGTTCTGAAGGGCCTTGGTGGTCGATATTTCTATAACATAATTATTTGTATTATGGACATTCCTATGCTCTGAAGTGCCTTGGTGGTCGATACTTCTATAACATAACTATTTGTATTATGAACATTCCAAGGTTCTAAAGGGCCTTGGTGGTCGATACTTCTATTACATAACTATTTGTATTATGAACATTCCAAGGTTCTGAAGTGCCTTAGTGGTCGATACTTCTATAACATAACTATTTGTATTATGAACATTCCAAGGTTCTGAAGGGCCTTAGTGGTCGATACTTCTATAACATAACTATTTGTATTATGAACATTCCAAGGTTCTGAAGGGCCTTGGTGGTCGATACTTGTATAGCATATCTATTTGTATTATGAACATTCCAAGGTTCTGAAGGGCCTTAGTGGTCGATACTTCTATAACATAACTATTTGTATTATGAACATTCCAAGGTTCTGAAGGGCCTTAGTGGTCGATACTTCTATAAC